ACCCAGTCTGTGTGCGCGCGCGCGCGTGTCTCACCTCCAGCTCTTTGAAGAAGATGCAGCTGCGTGCCCACTCCACGATGGCGAAGAGGGTCTGGTCAGCCATCCTGCAGAGGAGTCCGAAGGTGGTCAGCTTCTCCGGCCGTCCCCTGCCGCCCTGGTCTTGTTGCAGGCAGCTCAGGATGCGGCCTTTCAGCTGCGCCTCGTCCGGCTCCAGTTGGAGCAGCTTCAGGATCACCTCGGGCACGTCCAGCGCCGTGGCCGGAGAGGCGCCTCCGCCGACGCCGGGGTAAGGCTCCGGGAAAGGGTACGCCGGGGCGGCCTCGTGAGGGTGGACGGCGTAAGGCTCCGGGAACTCGGACTTGATGGCCCGGCTGGCGAAAGGCGGGTAAGGGTAACCCGAGAGGAGCCCGGGACCCACCGGGCCGGGCCCGGCCAGGGCGGGTGTCCCGTAGGGGCTGCGCTCGTAGTCGATGGGGGTCATGGCAGCCGCGCTGGGGGGCGGCAGAGCTTTGGCCAAGCCGGCCGGGTGCTGGTGGTGGGCCAGGCCGTGCAGGGAGGGCGGGAGCCCGCCGTAGTCTTCCGCCTGCACCGGAGAGACGATGGGCGGCGGCGGAGGGGGCAGAGGCGGCGGCGGTGGCGGTGGCAGCGGCGGGAGCGTCTCCAGTTTGAAGCCATTGGCCCGGATCAGAGCCTTCTTCTGCTGCTTCAGCGCCCGGTCGCGCTTGTACATCGGGCCGAATTTATTGCGGCCCCCGCGCATCCGGTCGGCGCGCACGGCTGCAAAAGGAAAGGAGGAACGGCGGAGCTGACCAGGGGCTGCCGGCGAAGTTGGGCCGGTCGAATCCCGCAACCAGGCTCCAGGTGGACTCGGCCTCCCGTCCTTCCCAGGAGGGTCAAGCGAGGACCCCGGTTGTTGGGGGGCAAGAGGCTGATTTTGGCTGGAAAGCACTATAAAGCGGTATATAAGTCTAAGCCCTTCCTTCCTTCTTTCCTTCCTTCCTTCTTTCCTTCCTTCCCTCCTTCCTTCCTTCCTTCCTGCTTTCCTTCCTTCTTTCCTTCCTTCCTTCCTTCTTTCCTGATTCTGCCCACTTTCTGGAGTTCGATCATGACCAGTTCAAAGTTGACTCAGCCTTCTGTCCTTCCGAGGCGGGTAAAACGAGGACCCAGATTGTTGGGGGCAGGAGGCTGATTTTGTAAGAAAGGGCTGGAAAGCACTATAAAGCGGTATATAAGTCTAAGACCTTCCTTCCTTCTTTCTTTCCCTCCTTCCTTCTTTCCTTCCTTCCTTCCCTCCTTCCTTCTTTCCTTCTTTCCTTCCTTCCTTCCCTCCTTCCTTCTTTCCTTCTTTCCTTCCTTCCTTCCTTCTTTGCTTCTTTCCTTCCTTCCTTCCTTCCTTCTTTCCTGATTCTGCTCACTTTCTGGAGTTCGATGCTGACCAGTTCAAAGTTGACTCAGCCTTCTGTCCTTCCTAGGCAGGTAAAACGAGGACCCAGATTGTTGGGGGCGGGGAGGGGGCGAGAGGCTGACCCTGTAAAACGCTCAGAGAGGGCTACGAAGCGGGGTACAAGTCTGAGGGCCATTGCTATTGCTATTACCAGCCCCCCGCTCCTCCCCACCCCCGCGGCCCATCTGGGGACAAGACCGGAAAAGCCCCCCTTTTCTCCACCTTCCCCCCCCACCTCCACGCGTCTAGTGGCATCCAAAGGGTGGAAAGGATGGAGGGCAGCCCCAGAGGAAAAGGAGCGCAGCCGTTTGGCAGCCATCCCGACCAGCCTCTCGCTTGGCGGGTTTCCCCCCTTGTCTACGCGGTAGGTGCCTGTCGGGGGCTCCTCCGCATGTCCTTCCTGCTACACACACACACACACACACACACACACACACACACACACACACCACTCAGGGTTGTTCCCAAGGCCGCAGCTGTCTTGCAACAGGGTGCTTCCTCGCCCAAAACGGAGGGGATCCTGCAGCGTCTTCGCTCAGGCCTCCCTTGGTCCAACTTTTTCCTCCCCCTCCCAAAACAGACTCTTGAAGATGAGGGGGGGAGAGGAGAGAGCGAGAGCCGGGAAGTTCCTTGGGGTGGGGAGGGGAAGGCAGGGGAGGCCCCGTCTATTTAAAGAGCAGCTTCCCTTCCCCAGTTCCTGCAGCGCAGCGAGGCAGGGAAGGAAGGAAGGAAGAATTAAAAAAAACGGGGGTGGGGGGGAATCCGTCGGCGGCCAGACGAAGAGCCTCGGCCAAAGTTTCGCTGCCCACCCCACCCCCCTTCCCCTCCCCGTCCTCCCCCGCGCAGGTGAAGGGCGCAAGGCGCTCTCCCTGCCTCCTTCAACTGCCCTTCTCTGCGGGTCAAGGCAACCGTTCTGGGGGCAGCTCCCACCCTCCCTGTCTCCCTCCCTCCCCGGGACAGCAGCCCCTTTGACTCCAACCTCACTCCCAGGCTCGCCTTCCCACGAGGCGCTTGCCTGGACTGCTCCGAATCGCGGGGATTTCCCCTCCGAGGGGACCCGTTCCAAAGCTGCTTTGGCGTCCCGGGCCGATCTCCCCCCCCCCCAAAAAAAAGGGGTCCCGGGACGAGCATAACCCCCCCGCCCCGTCAAAAAAACAAAAAAGGAGTTTTCGGGGCTCAAAGAAAGCTGTCCCCCCCTTTTATTTGCATGTCTCGGGGCTCTAAAAGCAGACACGAGGGTGCGTCGACCTCGAGTCGTTTGCACCGCGACGAAAACTCGTCCCGCAAGGCTGGGCAATGAATTCTTACCGCCTGGTCCTCCCCCCAAAAAAATAAAAAACGAGAGAGACCGGCAGAGGGTCGGGCGTTCATCGCGACCCCCTCCCCAAGCCCGGCCAAGAGGGAGGGGCTCTTCGTTACGGGTGGGGGAGACACACACAGACATACACCCATGCACGCACACACACACACAGAGCCTTGGGCAACTTTGGACCGGCGTTTGGCACGCGCTCTGAAAAAAAACCCTGCCTCTTCAAACATGGGCAGAGTGCCTCGCCTTGCCCCCCACCTCCGGCCCGTCCCCAAAGATTTTTTTTTTTGGGGGGGGGGAACCCTGTTAAAGATCCAGGAGAGAAGGCCCGGCCGGATTCCCTGTCTTACACCCTCGTTTTCTCGGCTTTCCCAAGGCCGCTTGGCTCCCGAAACAGCTGAATTGCTGCGGCCGCCCTTGGGAAGAGAAGAGGGGGCCGGGGGACCACCACCAACCCCCGGGCCAGGCTGCCCACGTTGGGGGCAAAGCCAGGGGGGGCTTCTCCCTCCTTCTCCTCTGCCCGCCATCCTTCCGCAGCGCAAGGAGCCAAGCCAAGAGCGCTCACCTTCCAGCCGCATCCCCACGGCCAGGCACTTCTGAAAACGGCAGTACGGGCACCTTTTCCGTTGCGTCTTATCGATCTTGCAGTTCTGGCTCTCCGTACACGTGTAGTGCTTGTTGTTCTGCACCGTCCTCTTGAAGAAGCCCTGGGCGAAGAGAGAGAGAGAGAGAGAGAAGGGGGCTTGAGACAGACGCGCAGGCGGGCGAGGAAAACTATCCCAGGCGCGCCGGGACTGGGAAGGCCAAAATGCCTCCCTGGCTTGTCCCGGTTGGAGGATGGCTTAGCTCCTCGGGGACAGAGAGGGTCTCCATCCCAACTCCATCCACGGTGGGTGGCATCACCCCTAACTCGCCCGAACAAAACCTCACCCAACCCGAATCGGTTCTAACGGGGCGTCTTTTCGCGTGTTTGTGTGAACATGGTATAAAATGAAAATGATTTTAGAAAGTTTGCTGGCGGTGCGAACACAGCCAAACAAATCGCCGGACCCTCTGGATACAATTCCTCCTGTCGCAGAACCCTAAAACTGGCTACTTTGGCTCCAAAAAAAAGGGATCCCCGGATTTTTGGACATGTCCTCAAGACCTCTGACTCCAGATTCACCCAATTTAACGGAGGAAATTTTTTTATAGAAATTATTTAGGCCAGTCTACTCTCCTCATATGATCCTCCCCACATGCCCTGCCAGGTAGGTTAACCCTGTAAGAGTAGCTAAGCATGAGCCCCCTCCTCTGGCCTCAGTGCCCCTCCGTGAAATGGGCTTCATCCTAGCCTAAGCGGAAGGAACGAGGCTGAACAAGGATGCGATCCCAAGCGCGAGAACGAATGGCGTGTTCATAATTTGAATTGTTTAAAATAATTTTATAGCAATCAACGGCGAGGGTCCTTATGGAAACAGGGCTCGAAATCAAATCCCGCACATTAATAATAAATCGATGGGTTGATACTAACGGCAGAATCCCTATTTTAATGCGGACCCCGCCTCTTAGATTTCTCCTGCTTCGCAAAACGAACGAACAAAAAGAAAACCTCTCATTCTTTCTCTCTCCTTTTTCTTTCGCCCACCCCTCAAATCCAAGGCACAGGGACGTGGGGTTCTCTCCCGACCCGGCCCAAACCATTTTCTCGCCCCTCCCGGCTGGAGAATCCCAAAATCACCGAAAAAAAAAATACCCAGAGGCGACGGAGGAGGAGGAAGAAGCGATTTCTGTAAAGGCCCCGCGCTCGTTCGTCTTAAAAGGAAGGTGTCCTTTAGCTAGAGGCGGCCTTTTTTAAGGGGGCAGCCCCCTTCTTTAAAAAGGGGTAGGTGGGTTGTTTGGGAAAGTGGCCATTTCTTCTTCCCCCACCCCGAAAAAAAATAATCTATCCAATTAAAAAAACCCCGCAAAATCAGGATTCAACTAGAAAGGGGAAGAATTTTTTTCCGCATTCGCCCCCCACAACCTTCAAATCTAAACCCCTCTCCCCCCTCCCAGAAAGAACCCCAAGGAAGCCTCCCCCAGTTGCAGTTTGGCCCTCGGAGAGCCGCGCTCCACCAAACCGGCCCGCGACCCTCCGAGGGGCTTGGGGTGGGGGGAGGGCGCGGGAGCCCACCTTCGCTTCGCTTTCGTTTCTAAGCAGAGGCGCCATTTCGCTCTTTTATTTCTTCCCATCTCAAAAATATTTAGGAAAAAATAAATGTCAACCTCCCTCCGGTCCAGTCCGATCCGGGAGGGGGCCCCCCGAAATGAAACTCGCGGGGTTTTAATTGCCCCCTCCCCGAATATATATATAAAAAAATAAGAGACTGGCAGGGTCCCTTCCGCGTTCTTGGAATGCCGTTCGCTTCCAGCTGCGGATGGAGAAAGGGAGGCGTTGGAGTCGAAGAGATTCTCCCTCCGTTTCTTCCCAGTTTTCCCTCCCCCTCTCCTCTCTCTTTCTCTCTCTCTCTCCTACTTTTTTCCCCCTTCACCCCTTCGGTTTGTCTTCAACCGTTCGACCTCCCTCTCTCGCCTCTTCCCAGGAAAATCTTCCTTCCCCAGAACCAAAGGAAAGGAAAGAAGGCCGGAGTGAAGCCGAATTAGCCGCTGCTTCTTCACCGACCCGGGACCAAAATAATAAAATAAAAAAATAAAAAAAAGAGGGGGAAGCGCTCGTTTTTAACATCTGGATCTCCAACGCGTTTTTGGGGAGCGTTTTTTTCCCCGCGGGTGGGTGCGTGGAAGGATTGGACGCCCGGTTTAAAAATAAAATAAAATAAAACCAAATCCAAAGAGAAGAGGCGGAATTCGTTGGGCGCTAAAACGGCCCAATTCAGGTCAACTCAATGGATTTTTGAAATGAATCTACGGGGGTTTTCGGGGTCCGCGCGGAATCCTGGGGAGCGGGGGGGGGGGGGGTCGCGAAAGGCTGAGCTCGCGCAAGGCGCCCAACCCACCCCAGGTGAGGAAACGCCTTTTTAAACGAATCCTAAAGCGACGCAAAATAAAAGAAGGAGAAATACTTCCTCGCAGAGGCGACCGCTCGAGCTTCTCTTCCACCCGACTGTTAAAAAAATCTGCTTTAAAAAAACCCCCAAAAACCCCAAAACCAAACCTACACACAGGATGGGAGCAGGTTTGGGGTGCTCAAGGCTGCACCCCCGCTCTGCCTCCTTCCAAGAATTGGATCAGCAGAGACGACAAAATTATTTAAAAAAAAAAAAAACAGAAACCTGCCACCGAAAAAGCAGTTTGTTAATATTAATCATCATGAAGGTGATGATGGCGATTCCTTGCCGTCAAGAGGGGGAAAAAAAATAAAAACCCTGACTAGATCCCCGCCGGTAAATGGATCCGGAGCTGCGGCTGGATCCCGGGCTTCCTTGCCTCTCCAAACCCCTCTCTCCCCCGTCTGGGGGGCTGGGGGTGCTAGAGAGAGACCCCCCCTCTCCAAACCTCCGTCTTCCTCTCCGCAGAAGCCGCCGACAGCCCCGAAGGCAGGTCTGCGTTGTGGCGGCGGGTCACTCGCGACCCTCCTCCCGGTTTTCGTTGACAAACCCTAATTATGATAATTCCTCCGGCGGCGGCGGCGGCGGCGGCGGCCTCTCCGCGGAGATTGGCGCGCAGTTCTCGGGGCGCTTTGGCCGGCCCCGAGTTGCGCTGCGCGCCCACCCCGCCGCCTTCTTCTTCTCCCCCCCCTCCTCACCTACCTTGCAACTTTCGCAGGTCAGCAGCCCGTAGTGGTAGCCGGAGACCTTATCCCCGCAAACGGGGCACAGCTCGTCCAGATCTTCGTCGTACGAATAATCCATCACCTTTGGCGGGGCCTGCGGGGAAGGAGAAGAGGAGGCCGGGCAGCGGCTGCGGGTGGCGGGGGGGAAGACTCTCTCTCTCTCTCTCTCTCTCTCTCTCTCTCTTCCCCGGGGGGGAAAAGAGGGGGAAGGAAGGAAGGAAGGGAGGGAGGGATGCCCCGACGAGCGGCGGCCGAGAGAGTGGGGGGCCAGCGGGCAGCGGCCTCCTTTATAAAGCCTTGCGGGGACGCGTGCGGCGCGGCGCGGCGCGTCCGCACCCTTCTCCTGCGGGCAGGGAGCAAAGGAGCCCCCACTCCCTCCCTCCCCGTCGGGGAAGGAGGGCATTGAGAGGGCTTGGCTCTCCGCTGTCCTCCCCCCCTTTCCCGGGGGGGCGGGTTTGGCTAGAGTCCACCCCACACACACAAACACACATACACACCCATACACACGTACCCGCCACCCTCCCGCACGTCCAGGCACCCAACGGGAATGGCGGCCTCCGCCCTCTCGGTCCAGGGGAGGAAGGGGACAATTGCCTTCCCGCAAGACCAGCCCCGACGGAGCGCACCGGTCGCTCCAGGTAGCCGGCCGACAGGGCTGCGGAGGGGGGGGTGTTCCTGGCTGGCAACCAGACCCCCCACCCCAGAGAGAGAGAGCTAAGGACAAGGCCGCGGAGGGTGTTCGGGTTTCCCCCACCCCTCAAAGGGGGGCTCCGAGACTCCCACGCGGATTCCCCTGGTGGAAAGGGGGCCACTTCCCAGGTGAGATGAAGTTTCGACCAACCTGGTACCTGGAGGTTTGGAAGAGAGACGGAGGAGAAAACGCCGCCTGGTGCGTTTGTGGGTAAAATCGGGTGAATTGAGGTGTTTGTCCTTGTCGGCGGTTTTTTTTTTTTTTTCCCACGCAGGAAAAAACGACAACAACCCCCCCAACACACACACACCTGGCCAGTCACTCTCTGTCCCTTGGACGCCTAACTTCCGCTTTCAGCTGCCTCTGTGGGGTGTTGGGACACAAGTCCCACCGCTCCCGGCCAACAGCTGGACAAGTCAAGATGGAAATTGTAGTCCCTTGGCTGAGCAGAAGGCAAAGGCGCCGGGAGCATAAACGGTTTCTCCGCCCGAGCTGGGGGGCGGGGGGAGGCGGACTCTTCACACCGGGCGGGTTTGCTGAGTAAACGTGCGTTCGAGCTAGGGCACCTCGTGGGAGAGGAAGGAAGGAAGGAAGGAAGGAAGGAAGGAAGGAAGGAAGGAAGGAAGGAAGGAAGGAAGGAAGGAAGGAGATGAGAATAAGGAAGGAGAGAAGGAGGGAGGGAAGAAGATGAGAGAAGGAAGGAAAGAGATTAGAATAAGGAAGGAAGGAGGGAGGGAGGGAGGAAGATGATGGATGGATGGATGGAAGGAAGGAAGGAAGGAAGGAAGGAAGGAAGGAAGGAAGGAAGGAAGGAAGGAGAGAAGGAGGGAGGGAAGAAGATGAGAGAAGGAAGGAAAGAGATTAGAATAAGGAAGGAAGAAAGGAGGGAGGGAGGAAGATGACCAGAGGGAAGGAAGAAAGGAAGGAGAGAAAGGGAGAGGAAAGATGACAGAGGGAAGGAAGGAGAGAAGAAAGATGACAGAGGGACGGAAAGAGATTAGAATAAGGAAGGAAGGAAGGAGGGAGAAAGATGACCAGAGGGAAGGAAGGAAGGAGAGTAGGAGAGAGGAAAGAAGATGACAGAGGGAGGGAAGGAAGGAAGGAGAGAAGAAAGAAGATGACAGAGGGAAGGTAAAAGATTAGAATAAGAAAGGAAGGAAGGAGGGAGGAAGGGAGGAAGATGACAGAGGGAAGGAAGGAAGGAGATGAGAATAAGGAAGGGAGGTGGGAGGGAGGCAGAGAGGGGGAGAGAGGGCGGAAGCGGGCAAAACACGTGTCCTCACAGACACACAACCTCCAAACTGGTCGGTCTTAACAGAACTGACTCTGGCATTAATTCTATCACACCAGGCGAGGAATAACGAACGTGGCGCTGCAGGTTTAAACCAGCAATACAGAATATTGGGGGGGGGGGTTTCATTTCCTCTTCTGCCCTCTTCTGCTGACTTAAGGGGGAACACGCGGGAGGGGGGAACCCCGCTTTTCTTGACAAACACCCCCCACTCTCCGCACGGAAAAAAACCCGCGATGCTCAGGAAAACTCACATCCCTTCCGGGATGGGAAGAGGATCCTGAACGTTTGTCCAAAGAAGGGGACGTTTCCTTCCTTCTCACCCACCCCCCGTCTCCACCCTTCCTCCCTTGAGCCGCGGGGTGGGAGCCTCCAAAGGTCATCCAAACGCTTCCGAAGGCCTCTGTGATGCCCGCCGCTGCCATCTGGCGGCCTGCCCACCCCCCTTTCAGCCTTGCTCCTCCCCGGGGCAAGAAGCTTGCTCTCCTCTCCAACGTGGCGCAAAAACTCAGTGTGTGTGTGTGTGTGTGTGTGTCTGTGTGTTCTTTTGCTGTGCACAGAAGGCAGGTGTTGGTGTACAACTGCACCGCGGGTGAGATTTTGGCTCCCACGGCTCTGAATCACGCATGTGTGTATGTGTGTGTGTGTGCTGGTGCGCAGGCGGTAGAAGACGACCGCTACCGGATCCTTCCCAGCCCGCAAAAAAAGAGCTAACAAGCCAGAGAAAGAGAAGGAAAAAAAACGACAACCAAGAGAAGTCCAAATGCCAGCCAGCCCGGGGATTCGGATTCGAAAGCAAAGTCAACCGAGCCAAAAAAACGAAAGAGCCGCCGCTGCCGCCGCCGCCGCCGCTGCCGCTGCCCAGGAGAGCCTTGGCCCAGGTGCCCATCGCCTCCTCTCCTCTCCTCCCGGACCGGACCGCCCAGCCTCTTGAGAGGTCAAAAAAGCCAGGTGACCTCTGTTGGCCCTCCCACCGAAAAGAGAGCCTTCTTGAACATCTGGGCCCTTGGAAATCTAGCCTCTGGAGGAGCGGGCTGGGCTGCTGGCGCTTTCCTTGCAAGGAAGTTGGTTGCCCTGGTGGTCGGAGTGTGCACTCCCAATATTTTTACACACACACACACACACACTGACAATCGCAAACACCTTTTCCCCATCCTTTGCCTTGTGCCTCCCCAAGGGACACACACACACACACACGCACGCACACACACAACCGCCTTGTATTGTCTTCCTCCAGAAGCATTTCCTGCGTGTAAACCCAGCCTCCTCTGGAGGGGAAATGGCGGCCAGGAGACAACCAGAGCTGCGCGTGTGTGTGTGGGGGGAGAAAGGCCTCCTTAATCATGGGGAACCCATAATAGCTGGAGAGCCAGAGTGCTCCTGAGCGTAAGTGGAGTTGCCCCTCAAGGCCAGCCTGAAGCTGCAGGGCCGAATCCATTCCGAGGCAGGCGGCTTTGGCCCCCGTTTTGGGTTTGCGTTGGGGTCTGTCCAGATGTGCAATCGGTTGGAAAGCCACTAGAGGGGCAAGTAGTCCAACATCTGGGAAACCACAGGCAGCGGCCATCACCCCTAGCTTGGTTAAAGGGATGGCACGGCCCTCAACAAACTTTGCAGATAATACGTGGAGGGGGATAAGTCGAGAAAACAATGCGCGAGAAGGTCCAATCTCAGCAAATATTGGTCCTCTCTGTTCCATGGACGTCCCTCATGGCACGTAATTCAAGAGGCAAAAACAAAACCCCATCTGCCTTTGGACATTCCCACATCAAATGCAAAGACCTCAGGGAGAGGAAGCCAAATCACGCTGAAACTGACCGGCCTCAGGTCAGTTGAAGAAACCGAGAAGGTTAAACAGGACATGGAAGGAAAAGAAAGCCACCTCGCAGGAGACTTGTTCCCTGAAGCCTGAGAGAGTAGGACTATAACTGCCATGGGCCTCCTCTTGAAGCAATCTGGATTTCATGGAAGAATTTGGAGAAGTGTGGGCCAGTAAAGGATATAGAGTTGAGCTTCTGAAAAGCTGAAGACGACTTAAGCATTCTCCTATCCTGAAGCCGAGATCCAAAGCAGACCGAGAAACCTCCAAGTCCCTTCCTTGGAAGACTAAATTAACTTTTTCTCTCTCTTACAAGGACCTTCCTTCTCTTTCGGACTCTGGAATTTGGGATGGAATGGGAGAAGGAAAACCACTCTAGCAGGCCGTCTTTCTCCACGAGCCCACCTGAAAACAGAGGTCTCAAAACACAACCTGCTTGCGGTGCCCAGATGTGAGTAGGAATCACTTTCTATATTTTGGGGAGGAAAAGGTTGGTGTAGGGGGTGCGGGAGGGAAGGTTATCTACCGAGAAGCCGCTATGGTGCTTCTGGTGTGGAGAAGTCTCAGCCTCTTTCTAAACAAAACCTCCCCTTCCCTGTATCAAAGCAAGCGGTGGAACTGGGATCTTTTTTGGGGGGTCCCACCACGGGGGAAGAAAACGGCCTCAAGATCTGGGCCTCAAGGGAGGTCCCTCCTGATTAAAGATGGTAGCCCAAAGAAGATGGGGGGAAAGAACAGACTGGCCAAATTCGCCGGCAAACAAAAGTCTCACCAAGTATGAAAAAAGATTCTACTTCCAGTTCCACCGGGGTCTTATTTCGGGAGCCAAGATCTTCCAAGCAGGCCACCTCGGCCTAAATGGAGAGATTGGCAGACAAAGCTACCGGCTCCTATCCCACCTCATCCCTCGCTCGAGACCGGAGGGCGGGGGAAAAAAAATATTATCGCAGAAGTAGATAAAAGTACAATTGTTGCAATGACCTTGGCATTGGCTGTTATCAATCACTTACTTGGAAAGTAGCCCTCGGTTTCTCTCTCTCTCTCTCTCTCTCTGCTGATGACCCCACCAGCTTCTCCTTAGCGGTGAAGTTCTCTCCAAGAGTGAAAGTGGCTGAGGGCCAAAGCTTTGGACTCCGGTCTTAATCCGGATGGAGCCACATTGGAGCCCACTTTTCGCGGCACGACTGCAGATCCCACTCCCAGGTGGATCCGTGGGCGCGCTTGCCCTGGCAAAGTCGCAAGCTCTTTTTTAATTTTATTTTTTTGCCGGACACTCTTAAG